CGTGATCTTATATTTACGGGCATACCCCATCATTTATAACTCAAAACGCTCAAACTCTGGATCTTTAGATCCAGTACTATGAATACACCAATTACTGCTCCATGTGATAATTTAAATTAATACAGATTAAACACTAATCTTTAATTTTTCGATTTTAACTTATGTCACAACTTGCAATTGTGGTTGAATACGGCGTCTCTCGGTCATCCAAGAATCTATGTTTTTAATGAGACTCTACGGCTAGATTAACGTTGCGAAGAAAGATGCAAGATGACTTCCGGCGCGCAACAGTTGAGCGAGGGCTGCGAAGGGCACCGAAGGAACCGGAAACTTAGGAGACGAGATGGGGTGGGCGGGGTGGGTGGCGCTCTTTGAGGCTTAATGAGTTCCCACATAGACCTTGCAAAGTCAGCGGGAGATGAGAACTCAAGGTAATTGTTGTCGAACTTAAACTTTACCACCATCTTTGCAGGGCCAAGAGTTTAAACCTAAATGTTTTCTGTTTAATTTTTCAATTATTGAGAATACTATTATTGACGTAGGCTGTAGGTAATTCGTTTTCCTCCTTCATAGGCCTTTACGTGTTAGAAGTTACTTCCTGACAAGATGATGCAGAAACTTTGGAAAAGTTAACTTCCACTGCTTTGGCCTATGAGTTGCCCTAAAAATGTTCGAATGTTACGAGGATATTTTTCTAAGATTGGTGTAATGATTTCTGTACGTTTATGATTTTTGGAACGTAAAACCTTGGGAACAATACCCAAAGGTACTTTTTTAACGTTTGAAAAGTTGAGGTAGTTGGGAAAAACGTTGGTAACATATTTTATTTCACAACGATTGCTATTGATTAGAGATTTGAATGGAACATTTAATGGAAAATTCTAGTTTATAGAATTTTAATGCATGTAGTTTGCAGAAAGAGTAATATGTTTGTAGGAGTATTTATTTTCTTCAGTGAAGAATTGAAAGCAATGATAATACTTTACAACAGTGTTCAATATTGCAATGAATTAAGCATCTAAAGTTATGTAAAATTAGATAAATTATAAATTCTATAAATGGAGATGCCTGAACTTTACTTAATAAATATTTTATAATATAAATAATTATAATAATAATAATTATATAATAATATAATATACATAATAATTAATGGTGGTGTGGTGTGGTGGGATGAATGATGAGGGTGGGTGATTGATAATATAAAAAGAATTGAAATACCAACGATTGATTAGAAATATGCTTTTCAATATTGAAGATTTTACTACGACAGAGGATAGAATAAAATGAATTTCCAAAAACGAATAGTTGTGACTGACGAAAATCGTTCGTGACAAAAAGTGTATTTGTGAAAGTGGTGTACTTTGTTAAAACCATTTTCTGTTTCCAACACTCTTCAGTAAATAAATTTAACTTTATTCTGCTAGCTATCAGTTTCTTCTTCTGGGATATTTTAGGTTAAATTATTCTGTACTATTGTTTTATTCGCACTAACTAGTCTGCCTTTTTTAAAATCTAACAGAAATCACTAAAGTAATATATTTCATTATTTTCCCTTCATTCTTTCTACATGACTAAATCATTGCGATGGTTTTGCTGGATTTCTTCTCTTATTTTATTTAATTTGATTATCCTGGAGGATCCTCAAAAATTCTTTTAGGTTCAACTAATTTTAATTTTTTATTCTTCAATTTCTAAATTGATGATCCATTTAAAAAATAACATTCAGATTTGGAATGGAACTTGCAGTTAAGTGTTTGACAATAATATACTGTATTAACGCAATAATTGCGTACCAATATAATTGCTCATACACGACTTCTTGCTGCTCAAGATGTACGACGGGAAAAGGATACTGGGAGGACGTTGTAAGGACAATACATTTTTTAATGACTTTTCGTGGTCCTAATCTATAGGATTGCAGATACTGTGCCGTCGCCTTCTCTACAGCTCTTCTTCTCCAAGTGCCAAAATGGACTCAAAATTGGGCAGTGGGTAAGATCATTAGTCAATCAGTTAGGGCGATCTTACCAGGTGGTACTGACATACATTATTATTACAACAGCAATAATTGTACGAACAAGGAAAGGGGTATTGTGGCAGGATGAATGAACACACAAGTTTTAAATAGACATCAACGTAATTTTAATATCCCCAATCCAAAGAATTGTGGATGCTGTGCAAGTCGTCAACATGTGCATGGCTGCGCTCTCAAAGTGCCCAAATCGACTCCATCGGCGGGCGATGGACTTCGACTGCGGCCCTCGGGTGTCGGCGCAGGCGGAGCAGGCGTGGCGGGTTGCCTACTTCCCGTACAGCAGGGGCGCCGAGTAGGCGGCGTGCGCCAAGGGGGCGGCGTAGGCGACGGGGGCGGCGTAGGCGGCGTGGGCCACAGGGGCAGCGTACGCCACAGGAGCAGCCACGGCGAGCGGGGCGGCCACGCCGTGGAAGTTCTGCGCGATCACCTGCGAGCTGTGCGCCGTGACGACGGCCGGGGCGACGACGGGCGCCGCGGCGTACGCCACGGGCGCCGCCGCCAGCACGCCCGGCTTGGCGTGCGCGCGCGCCGCCGCCAGCGCCAGAACGACCAGGCACTGCAACAGAGCCGCCGGCACACTTAGCATTACAGAGAGACTGGATGGAGGAAAGGACGGATTAATGGAGGGAAGGAGGGGTTGAAAGAGGGAAGAAGGGTCGATGGAGGGAAGGTGGGAGTGATGAAGGAAAGGAAGGGCTGAAGGAGGGGCTGAAAGAGAGACTGATGGAGGGTAGGCTGCACTGATGGAGGGAAGGAGAGACCGATAGAGGGAATGTGGAACTGATGGAGGGGAGGTAGGAGTAGAATTCGGGTTCAGAGATAATACGAGTAATATTACGTGATTCCAGTTTTCGTTATTTGCAAAGAGACTACTGTTATAGAATGAACCTGAATAAACTAAACCGTTGATAATATAAAAAATGCAATGTATTCCTATCATCCAAACAGACTTATTAACAAATAAATGGGCAACTATGTCTAATTCACAAAGCTTCCATCCACGGTAGCGACACAAAACAGATCAACGTAGCGAAACTTAGTGAAACAAAATGCGACTTGCGTGACTGTGAGCCGAACAAATTTCGAAAGCTTTGTTACCTTGAGCCTGTTAATCATATACGTTTTTGTGCAGTGACCATAGCTGTCTTGGCATTAAGAACGGCGATTTGTCTCATCGTACTTCACACAGTGCACACAGTGCATTCACTCCTAAGTGCCCACTTTGCGCCTATGAAGCAGTAGATGCAGATCGCTTCAATAGACAGCCCAGAAAAACTATTCACTGATCTACTTCAACTGCATGCCGAAGCTTATTCTTACTAGTCACCACGTAATCGAATGACTGCACAGCAGAGATTGGATGTTCACTACAAAGTTTCTGTTTATTTATAAGAAAATGAAGTTTTGAAAAATGATAGAGTAAAGTAACTACAGGCCTTGGCATTATATAGAACGAAACGGAATTTTAAAAAAAGATTTTGAGATAAAATGGATAACAAAGAAAGTTGTAGAAGGAATGCATAATTAAAACAAATAAGAGCTAGAACTAAAATATTACATTAGATAACTTAAGCGAAAATTTCCTAGAGCTGAAGAATAAATCCTTGCATATAATTTGGGAATGTAAAAGCTCAAGGAGCGGAAAATTAGGGATAATGAGAATAATCTTTATTTACATTCCAGAAAATTCCTTAGTAACCGAACATGGAATGAGAAACGTTATTTATGCTGAGATGATGATAATAATACAATTGATATTTGAGCAATGACTCAATGAGAAGCAGGAGACGGGAGACAATGAAGTCTATCACATCTGCATATGCCAACCAAAATTTGAACTTCGGTCCACACAGAGCACAATCTAAACTCTGCTCTATGGTTCGTCATCTGCAACAGGATTGTCGTATCCATCCAATGAGTTACTGTAACCTTCCTCTTCGGGACGGAAAACGGACGTTCAAATACTGTCAATTCCGCCTGCAGTTCGCTTAATAGAGTTGCATGCGAGTGCAGAGATGGAAAGCCGACCACGCCCATTTCGTCCATCTTTCCATACACACGATCCATACTCGTGATTTCCGGATACTGGTTAAACCTGTGTATTCAGATTGTTTCCCTATTACACCTTCTTTCCATTTGTCCGTTCAAAGAATAGCATATTTGAATTTTCATTGCTTAATATTTACATTGTTTCAATGTGGCGTCTCGTCCATATTACTTTCTGTGCGTTTTTAGCATTGGAGTTCAAACAAGCAATATCAATAGACCCTGCATATCAAATATTTTTTACTCGATGATGTGATTTCTTTAATAGAAAACGTTTTACATAGAAATTATAAGAATTTTATTGAAAAAACTAAAACTTGTTATTTGTTTACATATGTATCTAATATTAATTTCCCTTGCACGAATGTTCTGCTAGACTACTTATTATTTGTTTCTCTTCGCTCTGTGTGAGGGACAGTAGAAATGATTTTATACCCAAATAAACTTTCAAAGATGAAAATATATAAATTGAAGTGTGTACAATGCGCTCTTTTACTTGGTAAGTGCTATTTGAACTCCATAATAAGGATTAAAAAAATATTTGACTTTTAAAAAAGCTCTACAGAATCTTGTGAAACACTGGTGATAAGGAGAAACACGAGAACATCCGTAATCTAAAATCAGAAATTAATTTTTTTCCGAGAATCATAACAACCATCATTACACACATTTATCCGATTAAAAATTTGTTCAGAGAAATAATTTTCTTTACCGCTGTTTCTGCATGTTGCTTTGCAGTGAAGAGTTTCAGGGGAAAATTAATCTTAGAATTTGTAATTTGTTTTTGTGCTCGACTGAAAACAAGTTTAAAATTACCTCAAAACTCTTCGTTTTCTAGTGAGGAGCAATTTTTTAATTAAAAATATTACTACTTCATTCGAGCTGCCTCAAAATCGTACTTTTTATAATTCTCATATTACTTGCTGCGAAGTGTATTCAGCAAATATTCTGGGGAATTTACTTTGATGCTTAACTTCGAACTAAATGTGACGATCTCTGTTATCTGAAAATTAAAATATGAGAAAACAATTTAAATGAAGCCAACGCATTGAGGAAAAAAAATAATATAAGTATCTCGTGAATTCACATTCAGGTAATCTTGTATGTTATTGAGATGCAGCTTGTTATAAGTGAACTTTGGGAATTAGATACGTACTCCTTTGTATTCTCTTGTAAAATTCATTTTTCATGCGTTATCGGCTAATTCACTGAAGATAAGAGATATACTTCGTACAACACTTCCTGATGTCATGACTTTGTAACACTTCCTGGTGTCGATACGTAGCCCAAATTGTATGTATTTGCTGAACACATAAAGACATTCCTACCTCTGCAATTGATTGTTTTCAAAGTGAAAATATCCCCAAAGTAAAATCCTCCTTTCAGCGGTAAGGCCCTGAAACGTAATGTGACTTTCATCTTAAAGACCCGGTACAGTGCATAAGGTAAATATCTTAATATTGCTTAGAATTTTGTTAACAAAAGAAACAGACCCATATGATTAAATTACACGATAAGTCAATTAATTATTTTATTTTAGGTAGATGGTTGGTTATGTTTTAACCACTCATTCTACCAAACACATATCCATAGGAGCTACCCGTGCCAAACCGTGAGGTAGCGTATGTCGTTTTGAGTTACCAACAATGGTAATGTGTGTTCCCACCTAACCAGTGTTTCACATTGGATTTCTTTTTATCGTAAACTAAAACAAGTTCTATATTTTTCTTCTTATATTTGATTGACACAGCTGTGAAGGATGGTAATTCCTTATTTTTCTGCACTATACTTATAAAGTTTTGTGTGGACGTCTTATAAATCATACCAAAGCGTCAACTTTCTTTGGCGTATTACACATACAGAAGATTAGTGTCGGAAAACTGAACCGAGAAGTACGTCTGGTGCCAACGGGTTCCGTTTGACAGAGCGCGCGGAACGTGATGCAGCGGCGCCGCTTTAACGCCCCCTGCCAACGCATGAGCTGCACGATTTGGCTGGCGGGGCGTCGCGTCAGGGAGACAAATGCGTAGCGCCCCGCGCTTCTTCCGGTGCCCCGCGGCCAAGGCGCCTTCGCTTTGTTTTGGCGCCCACAGACGGCCCGCTCTGGTGCATTCGCAAGGTTTTGTCTCCGGCCCCCGGCTCCGGGTGGAGGCGCGAGCGACGCCTTTTCGCCTGCTTGGTTGGCGCTTGTGCATCTTATGGATCACATCCCGGAATTTTCCAAGCCCGAGTATATTTAAGCTGTCTACTTAGCAACTTCAATATATTATTATTATTATTATTATTATTATTATTATTATTATTGATAGCCATTAAAACCCCATGTGGGAGAGAAATTCCTAGGCCGCGTAGCTAACATTGAAAAAAGCTTCTCGTGTAGTCACTTCGAAAATAAAACACTTCGAACTCAAATATACTGAGTTCTTAAATACGCGATGTAATAACGTACAGTTGTATATAAAGATTAAAGGCTATTACGTTCTCAAAATTAGTATTTTTTGTGAAACGAAGCTGCTCTTCACGCAGTTTTGATGCTCTAACGGTTAGAATACACGAGTTGGAATTTGAAACCTTGGCTTTCTAAGGCCAGAAACTCATTCCGAAGGGACGTTAGTCTCTGATCCAAAAGATGTCTGTCATGACAAAGGAGTTCAAGTATAATCCCTGAGCAAGATCCTAATTTTGCGTTACTCTGAATTCTTCTCTAATAATACCTCAGTTTTCTACTATGTAGAACTGAGACCATGCCCTTGACATGTATATCATGTTCAGGAAATATATCGCATACAATATAAGTGAGCCAATTTATGGCTGTAAAATTAACGAATCTAAAAGTTAAAATATTTTGCCTGTATCTGCGACACGCAATGACAAATCATTAAGTGACAAGATAAAACTTTGACACTTTTTAAATTTATATAAAGGTATAATAAAATAGACAGGAAATGAATATTTAACATCTTAATAATCACACTTTATAACAGTATTCTGAGTGTATATCAAGTATTTAAAAAAATCTCGATTGATTTCATGATGCAAACTATGAATGAGCATTCATACAAAGTGAATACAGCCGGTCCGGATGACCGAGATCGCTAAGGCAGTAGTGCCATTGCGATCTGTGACCGAAGGATCGCGGGTTCGAGGCCCGTCTCGGACATGGTTGTATTGTGTTTGTACATTCACCCCATAACATCTTCATATCGTGTCATTCTCACAGTTACCATACCGTTACACACAATCGTGGTCGTTAATGAACAGGAAGTTGATGCGACCTTACATAACATCAAAAAAGCGAATACTGAACGAGTGAACATTTTAAATAGCTCTCTGAAAAGCACCACCGGTCGGTTCGATCGCAAAGCGCGGGCTTACCAGCTTGTACATGTCGTTGGAGAAAGGGTTGGCCTGAGCTGCTGGAAGGCAGTGGGTGCCCGCAACCTCCTCCGCAGCCGTTTTATACTCTTCGCGCCGCGCCGCGCCGGCCGCGTGCGCTGCCAAGTGCGAAAGCGATGTCGCTGCCTTACGTAAGTGGTGCGTGGCGGCCCCCGGCGCCGCCGCTCCGCCTCGCTCTGCGGCGCTTAAGGCGCGTGCCCAGCATTCGGCAGCGGTGGAGGCGGCAGGCGCCGGACGGAACGAAGCAGTGCCCCGACCCAGGGGACAGGGAGAAGCAGAGGAAGTCATCTCTGGCGACTTGGATTTATAAACTTGGATTTGTTAACTTGTATACATTAACTTGGATTTGTTAACTTGGATTTATTGACTTGGATTAATAAATTAGGATTTATTAATTTAGATTTATTAACTTGGATTTATGAACTTGGATTAATAAACAAGAATTTATTAATTTGGATTTATTAACTTGGATTTATTAACTTGGATTAATAAATAAGGATTTATTAACTTGGATTAATAAACAAGAATTTATTAATTTGGATTTATTAACTTGGATTTATTAGCTAGGATTTATTAATAAACATAAGTTCGCAAAGATGACTTCCATATTCCACTCTTGAATAATGTCAACAACTCCACATCAATAATCCCCAGGGAAGAGACCATTTTGCGCGCAAGGGGATGGTCGGAGGTGCCACGTCGGAATGTATTCGAGCTTTGTTCTGCGAATGCAGAAAGTCAGTGTGAGAACGAGTATATTTAAAAATACAACTGAGCATTTTCTCTCTCTTTCTCTCACTATCTCTTCTTACTTTCGGTATGCATAGGTATATACGGAGTAATGTACGTATGTGGTATGGGGGAAAGTTATAACGCAGTGCGAAAAAGGGCCAATTTTCTTCAGAAAAAATTATTGCCTGGCCCTCATAATGAAAAAGAGGATAAATCCAGTAGCTAAATTAGGAGAAAAAAGTCCTCTAACACGTAGTAAAGCCAGAAACCGTTTTTTGTGGGTACTTGATACCAACAAATCAATTCAAGTTTTGAGATTGTGAAAAATATTCTTTAAAATTTGGATGTATTTTACATTTAGCCCTCGGGACATTTTCAAAATTTGCTCATAAACGGCACTAATTTTTTTTTCTTTAAATTTCTTATAATAATTGAGAAACAAACACGTAAAGGTGGCATAGGTCCAATTTTCACGGCTAAATCAAAAAGTTTAAAAGCATGAATTGTTTCGAAGTCTTCCTAGAACAGAATATGAGATAGAGAATTTTCCTTCAATTTAAATTTATTATACATAATTTGTTATTTCATTAAGGTCATATACAGTTTTTAAAACTTTTAGCCCTTTCCACTAAAAGATAAAAAAGCAGATTTTCTCATAATTCACTTCAATATTTTGTTTTAAACTTTTGGTAGGAATAGTGCTCAATGTACTCTGTGTGATGATACAAACGCCATATTGCTCTATTATTTTTCTAAAAATTACAAAAAATTAATTTTATTGACGTGTCTTTAACGTCTTTAATATTTATATTAGCGGCAATTTTTAATATTATTGTATTTATGAGTACATGTGCTATAAATAATGTCATATAAAGTTTCTCGAAAACTTTACTGTTTTCTGTAAAAACTAGCTCAAAATTTCGCATTTTCAGATATGCTCAAACGCCATTTTCTAAAAAAGGCTCGAAATGTTTTCTTCAAACTTCGAACGGATATTGCTAATTGCTCTGTTTAAAATGACATAAAGTTAAATTTCGAGTGTTTCTTTGTTTTTTCAAAAATTAAACTAATGTAATTTTTTGGAAGATCTCTCCCGCCGTTAATACGCACAATTCCATGAATTTATAAACACTATTATATTTGTAAGTTAATATGCGTTAAATAATTTCTATAAAAGTGTTTCGAAAACTCAAAAAAATTCTGTGAACCAAGTCTCATTCCTATTTAAATATATCCCAATGAAGTTCTTAACTCGCCCTAATGGATTTATCGCTGCCAGAATATTCCTTACAATGATGGTGCGCTCAATAGAGCCTGACCCGTCCTCCACGTGCCATATCGTTCTTTCGTCCACGCAGGTGCTTCTATATCTATATAAAAAGGGTGAAATGAATAGAAAATTATTTATTTATTGTTATTAACATTATTATCTTGTATTAGTTTTAATGTAAGTATTTAAACAACACTATAGTCTTCTTCTAATTTGTAAATTTAATCACTGATTCCTTTAGATAGTTATTCTAATGATTGTCTCTAATTTGCTAAGTACTAAAATAATGAATGCCTAACAACAAACAAAAGTGATTAATATGGATATAAATTATATATATATATATATATTAATATTTTATAATCTGATGTTATAACTTACTGCTAGTTATAGAATATCAATACATATACTCAGAATGTGAACGTCGATACAGATTGATTTTGACATTGTGCTGGTAGCGAGTAACTTATAATTTCATAACAATAAAACACGTGAAGTATGTTGTCAATAAAAGAGAATAAATAATTGATAAACCATTCATTTTACCCGTTTTCATGAGAGAGTGCATGAGTGTGAAACCCATTTTTGTGGA